ATCTGTGCTAGAAGGTTCTGCAAAGATGTCACACTAGTGTCCTAATGTGGATATACAACTGCTGTTAGGGGTGTTGGGAATATGAAATATTAGTTGTGATTCCTTCTAAGACATAAAAGAACTAGGATGAACATGTTTAAATCTAGAAATATAATTTAAGCCACATTGCAAGCAATTTCTCTGCTAACACACACAATTTCATCTATGTTGATCAATGTTACACAAGAAACAACCACCTTCTTCTTCTTTCATTTTATGCCATCTCCCCCCACTCCATATGGTCTGTATTTAATAAGACATGCAATTAATATGCATTTTTGGATTATACAGCTTTTTATACTATTTATGTGAGTGAGGTTTGTCTCAGAAAGTGCCTTTCTATCATGTACTACAAATACAAATCTGAGATTCGCTCACAACCAAAAAAAGCTCTTTTATGTTAGCATATTTCTGTAATGTCCTGCTTTCCAGGATACCAATGCACAATTTAAAATAGAAAAAGGTCTGGGCATATATACGGGATGTCCAATAGTAGAAGATTTATTTTGATCAAACATGCATTTTGGCTCAACAATGCATAATGCAAACACTTTATTGAAAGGGCCAAACCAAGCACCTTAATTAAAATTAATTTAGTGTTTACAGTGCTACAGCTTATATGTGATATCCTCTGGAATCTGTTTAATCTGACCGAAAGGTTCTTCGTCAGTTCTTCTATACCATAGGCTTAGGTCAATTCGGTGTGGTCAAACCATCCTATGAGCTAGAGCCCTTAACCATTCACAAAACTGTGTGAGCACACATTACCTGAATGGTAAATATGGAAGCAAAATTAGATTTTTAGTGATGAAGTTGGATGAAAAACAGTTTGACAAAAGCCAAAAGGAACTTCACACAAATTTTAATAACATCTGAAACATATCAACAATAGCCGACTACCTGTATATATACTTAACTTTGCATATTTTATTGAGATAATATAGGTGGCAGCCACTCACCCAAACGTATATAAGAAGCACAATATTTTGGGATTACAACTTATCTATAATATGGTTTTAGAAAATCACACGAGCTAGAACTAGTTGGAATTTCACTCACTAGTGTTTCCCCTCGATATAGCAGCACCACAACTACATCTTACATCTGAAATATGCAAGATGGGCAAAACTGCTATATACACTTTAATTTTTATAGTCTGGTTGGCTTGGAATGATCATTTTTCAGTGACATCTGAACGATTAGATCACTAATTATGATACACCTTCTAATTTCAGTAGAGCTTCACATATCCTATAAACCCATATACAGAGGGTTTGTATACTGCAAGGTACTCAACCATTAGTAATTAATTATAACATCTTGTACAAATGACTTACAAGACTTTTCCGTATGCTTATTATTGCATTTATTCAATTTCTATTATCTCCCCCCACCCCCAGGCATGCATGTAAATCCTCTCATAGAAAACATATGGACGTATGTACATAGCCAAACATAGCTTTAATTTTCCATAAATGGATACTCTAATCACAAAAAAAAACTATAGCTTTATGAAGCAGCTTTGGTCTAAAGATCATGCCTTTCAGTCTCACTAATCAGTTCTCTGTCATTTAAGACTTGAATCACTTTTCTTTGTTTATGCAACCCTAGCCACACCTCCCATCACTGTGACTGGCACAGACTCCATGGAAAAATTGCTAATTTTCAAAAAAGTATTACAGCAATGTATGATTACGTTAGAAGTTTTTATCGTCTGCTGTTTTAGCTGAACCTTAATCCATATGGATGGCTGCAATTGTCCAAGTTTCCCAGGGTTCTGTCCTTGGTCCTCTGCTGTTCTCAATCTATACCTCCCTAGATAAATTCAGCAGCTCTTTTGGCTTCCAATATAACTTCTATTTGGATGACATGGAAAACTCTCTGTCCTCTTCTTATCCCTCACCATCCCTCCTGACTCGTGTCTCTGACTGCCGTATCTGTATCTTACTGCTCATTTTCTTAAACTTAACCTGTCCAAAACAGAGCTTCTCGTCTTTCCTCCCTTAAGTGCATTGTCATTGGCACTACCAATAGCTCAACCTCAGTGGCTTGCTGCCTGGTGTTCTTTTTGACTCCAATTTCTAGTTAACTGCTCATGTCCAGTCACTTGCTAAATTCTGCTGCTTCCATTTTAAAAACATAACTTGCATCTGCCCTTATCCAACTCCAGGTGCTGGTCCATGCCTTGACTACCTCAATCCTCTTCTCAGTGGTCTTATGCATTCCCAGCTGGCCCCATTACTGTCTACAACGAAAGTGGCGGTAAGGAGGCTCTTCCTCTCTGCCACAACTCTCATGCCTCCCCCTGTGGTTGTCCTTACATAGGCTTTCCGTACGAAGTAGGGCTCAATTTAAAAAGTTTATTTTAATATTAATTGTGTTATTCATAAAGGGTAAGTATGCAGGCTGGAGGGAGGGTCAGAACATTAGTGCTTGTTATGTCAGCCGAGCGGTGTCAAAGTCCTCCTTTTGTAGGAAGGCATAGTGTGGCATTACTTACCTACGCTGAGCCGTGCAGACCTCTTCCTTCCATATGGTCTGACCGCTCCACACGACCGTACGGCACACTGAGGGAGACTCACCTGCCTCGATCCTAGCAGACCTCTTCCTGCCGCGCAGTCTGACTGAACCTCGCAGCAAGACATCTATATATAGATGTGGATGTGACATCACGCCCACAAAATCATTGTGATCCTAATCTGTTTTGGATCGCAGTGATGACGTGGACCTATCAGAATATAGGTAAGCTTATTTAAGGCTTGTTTTAGCCCCCTATTCATTTCTCTATCATGGTTTCTGTAAGAACCTTGTTTAGTGTTCCAAGTAATTCCCTTGTGATTTCCTGTGTTTGACTTTGGCTTCATATTTGACTCGTGATTTCTGGTTTCCTGACCTCGGCTTCCTATTGGACTCATGATTTCTGGTATCCTGACCAGGCTTTGTATCGAACCTGTCCTTGATTTATTCTTGAACCTACTTCTTGTTGTTTAGATATGTTAAGTCTGGCCATTTTAAGGCTTGGTAATATGGTTTTCAGAACCACCTTTTGTGGTTCCCTGTTTTCTGCGTGTTGGGTTACGACTCTCGTGACACATAGTGCTCCATTACGTCAGAAAAAGGTTTAATCACGGACAAGAGGCTGTTGTAGGCTCTAGCAAGCTATTAACAAATCAGGAGATAAATTCTAAATTAAATTAGGCACACTATGCAAAAAAGGAAGTTTACAAATTAGATCTCTCTTTACAGCATATATGTAGGGAGGCTGTGTAAGTCTCAACCTGGGGCTAGGGATGCATAAAAAAAGCTTTTTAACTTCTATATGGCAGATAATTGAACTATGAGTCTGCAGGGGCATGATCTTTCTATTGAGCTAAAGTTGTTTTGATCGTCAGAGTGTCCCTTTAATTTGTCTATTGACTTTTCTCTTTGAGCTGCAGCTAAGGTCAGAGTGATTTCTATTAAATCATGTGTTTACTATCAGGCAAAAAAAAGCCTGGAGTTTCCCTAAAAGTCTACAAGTATATTTCTTAAAGACTTCATGCACAATGGCCACGATTTAATATTGCTAGATAAGCTTTTCAAATTATTTTACATTTTTGGATAAGCTTTTCAAATGATTTAAAGGGACACTATAGTCACCAGAACAACTACAGCTTAATATAGTTGTTCTGGTGGCTATAATCATTGTCTTCAGGCATTTTCATGCAAACACTGTCTTTTTAGAAAAAAGGCAGTGTTTATATTGCCCCCTTGGGACACCTCCAAGTGGCCACTTTTTAGATGGCTACTAGAGGTGCTTCCTGGGGCAGTGCTGCACAGTAGGCAACACTGCCGTTCAGCATGGGAACGCTGAAATTCTCTCATAGGGATGCATTGAGTTAATGCATCACTATGTGGAGGTGCTGATTGGCCAAAACAGTGTTAGGCCCCGCCCCCAGCCCACCTCCTTGCCGATTGGCTAAAAATCTGAAATTTTTATGATGTCACCAGGGAGACAGATTTGGGATGGGGCCTTGCATCGGTGGAACCACGCGGAGCTGGAAGTAAGGTGAGTTTTAACATTTTCTAAGGGGACTAAGGGAGGGCAAGCATGTTTGTGTTCCTGACCCTATAGTGTTCCTTTAATATTATGAAAAATATTTTAATTGTGTAATGTTTTGATATTTTTTATATATTGATATTTTTTTATAGGACTTTTTTTATATTTTAATATTAAAAAAAAACATTTAAAGGAACACTACAGGGTCAGGAACACAAACATGGATTCGTTAAGACCCCCCCAACCTTCTTAAAAGGAATTAAAACACCTTATTTCCAGCGCCGTGCGGGTCTGCCGGCGCTGGCCCCGCCCCCGATTCGCCTCCCAAATTGCAGATTTTTAGCCAATACAATGCTTTCCCATAGGGATTGGCTAAAATCGGCAAGGAGGTGGGGCCAAATGCCGTTTTGGCCAATCGGCATTTCTTCATAGAGATGCAATGAATCCTACTGTGCAGCACGACCCTAGGAAGCATCTCCAGTGGCAATCTGATGAGAGGCCATTTGGAGGTGTCCCTAGGGGCAATGTAAACACTGCTTTTTCTCTGCAAAGGCAGTGTTTGTATGAAAATACCTGAAGGCAATGATTATACTCACAAGAACAACTACATTAAGCTGTAGTTGTTGTGGTCACTATAGTGTCACTTTAAAAAAAGTATCCAAAAATATTAAATAATTTGAAAAGCTTATGTAACAAAATTAAAATAAGGCCAATGTTCCAAATGAGAACTTGTTAAAAACACCCACCTCATGTTAACAAAGAGAATTGGTCATCACACAGGTCTGTCAGTTATTTCAAGCTTATATTATAAAACCACAAACCGCTCAGATGCCTTTATCCTCTTAGGCAGCAAGATTAAATTCTGTTGAATTTAAGCACATAATAATGATTAAACTTCGTATTAGGAATAAATCTAAACATTGAAGGGAACACTCCAAACACCATAACCACTACAGTTTGCTGTAGTGGTTATGGTGCCAGTAGTGCCCTTTTGGTCCATCATTAAAGTAGGCAAACCTGCATCTGCTTAGCCTTAGGAGCTTCTTCAGTTAGCTCTAAACAAGGTTAGTTCATTGTTTGAAAGAGTCATTTTATCTCTCAACCAATGAGCTAAGCTGTGCACTGCCAGGTTTAGCTCAGACTGAGAGTTTCAGGCTCTTTTGTAGCTGTAGTGGAAGCAAGGAGCAGTGTCCAGCTGACCCCAGATAGTAAATTCAAAAACAATTTGACTACTCATAATGAATGCACAAGGGCATTTGTGGCACCATAACTACTTCAGCATGTTGTTGTGGTAACGGTGCTTGCAGTTTTCCTTTAAAGAGAACCACTTTTCTGAAAGTGTCAACTTCTCAATACCTCACCCCAGTAAACATGTTAACTTGTACTTATCTACGCTGCACTTCAGTGTGCAGGATGTTATTGCTCTATCTATAACAATCTAAAAGAAACTTAATTTTAAAAAAGCATGTGCTACTAGTCACCATGTTGAAACAGTGTGTGTCCAGAAAAACACAGTGGATCTGGCATAATACAGCAAAACACTGGTCAAAATTATCAGTGATTTTCTTAAAGGACCACTCTAGGCACCCAGACCACTTCAGCTTAATGAAGTGGTCTGGGTGCCAGGTCCCTCTAGGATTAACCCTTTTTTTTTATAAACATAGCAGTTTCAGAGAAACTGCTATGTTTATAAATGGGTTAATCCAGCCTCTAAAGGCTGTCTAATTGACAGCTGCTAGAGGCATTTGCGTGCTTCTCACTGTGAAAATCATTATGAATGCTTTCCTATGAGACTGGCTGAATGGGCGCGCAGCTCCTGCCGCGCATGCGCATTCAGCCGAAGAGGAGGATCGGAGGCGGAGAGGAGAGCTCCCCGCCCGGTGCTGGAAAAAAGGTAAGTTTAACCCCTTTCCTTGCTGTCCAGCCCGGTGGGAGTGGGACCCGGAGGGTGGGGGCACCCTCAGGGCACTATAATGCCAGGAAAACTAGTATGTTTTCCTGGCACTATAATGGTCCTTTAAAAGGACCACTATAGGCACCCAGACCACTTCAGCTCAATGAAGTGGTCTGGGTGCCAGGTCCATCTGGGGTTAACCCTGCAGCTGTAAACATAGCAGTTTCAGAGAAACTGCTATGTTTACACTAGGGTTAATCCAGCCTCTAGTGGCTGTCTCATTGAAAGCCGCTAGAGGCGCTTCCGCGATTCTCACTGTGAAAATCACAATGAGAAGACGCTGACATCCATAGGAAAGCATTGAGAAATGCTTTCCTATGGACTGATTGAATGCGCGCGCGGCTCTTGCTGCGCATGTGCATTCATTGCTGATGTTGGAAGAGGGAGGAGAGTTCCCCAGCGCTGGAGAAAGGTAAGAGTTTAACCCCTTCAGCCCGGTGAGAGTGGGACCCTGACGGTGGGGTGGACCTAAAGATCCTTTGTTTTCCTGGCCTTATAGTGGTCCTTTAACTGTTTAATTGTGTGGTTATTCAAGAACTCCTAGCACTCTGTCCTGATTTTGAACCTGAATGACAGTTTGACATGCCAGGGATGAATAACATATCTGATTACATCATAATATAAAAGTCCATTTCCCACTGGCACATTTGCTTTGCTATAATTACAGAATAATGAATTCTAATTGCTCTTGTGCATTGTTCTACAATTTTTCATTGTGCACATTTTCTCTCTCTTTGATTTTTTTGGAAGATGATCCACCTAGCATAAAATATTTCATGAATATTAAAATTAGGAGCAAGCAGGTGAAATGAGGACAATGTAGTCTCATAGCAAGCAGTAAAGCTGTAAAGTTTAACATTGCTTTCTGTCGCTGGTATTTGAACAGCTGTTAGATTTCAGACAGAATTTCACTTGTTAAAGCCCAGCACTTCGAACAACACACATTGTTTGAATGATCTCATTCAATAGAAACAGATCAGCAGTTTAAGGCCTAAAAACCTTACATTTGCAAACACATAGTAAATAATTATCTACTATAAATGAATCACCACACATGAAATAAGTTTTAAATGGACTTTGACATGTATCTATATATTATAGGAAAAAAACAGAAACAGGTTTATTCATTAAGCCATTACCTGAAACTAACCAGGCAGAAAAACTGCAGAACTGGATTATATTTCTTATTTGGCTGTTTTGCCCCCAAATTTTAAATTCTGAAGAATTCACACAAGTCAGTTATTTACTAAACTATGAATTGTCACAAATGTGCCAGTGATTGAAAATGTATTTGAAAATTTAATGCCGTAACAGAAAAACAGCAAACATGCCAGGAGAATTTATTTTCCCCATTTTGGCTACTTTGAACTTTTTGTTGAAATTCCCATGTGAGTTTGTGATAACAGATCATACCAACAGAGACAGAGATTTATAACATCACGCCTCTCAATTCAAGTAGCCTCCATCTCTTAAAACCATACATGCTCCGCAGAAGGACCATCAATGTTGAGGTCTGGAATATGTGAGTAATAAAGACTATTCGTCAGTGCTTGACCCCCAAGGCTACCTGAGGTAATGCTATTTGGTGTGGTGGCTATCAAGCAATAAGAATTGGGAAGATTCCAGATGGGAAATAACCTTGAACGTTGGACTCTCTATACACCTGTCTCATTGGTTTACTGCTGTTAAAAAAACAGCCTAATAGAAAGCTAAGTGTACACAGTCAAGGCAGATAGACTGATAAATGCTCTGTGACTCGGTACATAAGCAGCAGGTATCATGTGTGAGCACATGGGAGGAATCAGTGCACGTAAAGACTACATTATAATGCTTGCAGGTTGTTATGGAAACACATCTGACATCAGAACTCAATTGACCACAAACAAGGTTTTTCTGCAAAATTAACCCTTTCAACAACTAAAAGCATCTTTCGAAGACTGAGCATTTTTTTCAAAGCCACAAAGAAATAGTTTAAATAATATTTTTACTAATCTGTCTTCATCCCGCAGAGGACAACCCTCCGAGCAATTTCCAATTCCACAGTCAATTTGGTGGAAAATAGCTTTGTGCCAAAGCTCTGGGGGCATAAAGTCAGCTGAGAAGGTTTAGGAACAGTGCTGCTAAATTTACATCTTATGTAGGTCTGAGCTGATGTCTGGTGTTTAAGAAAAGAAGTAAAATATTGATGGTTCTATTCTGTTTGTTAAACATTTTGATCCAAAAGGGAAAAAACCTGTATAAAAGAATCATATAGCTGCACAAGTAACTATTGAATGCAAAGCAGTGGGTGATAAGAGGACGATAATAGAAACATATAAATATATTCGTTATATACTGTCAAATGTCAAGACACATTTTATAGATCATAACAAAACAGTCCTCAGTAAACATGTTAATTATACAGTAATAAAATAACACATTAACCCCTCAAGGACACAGCTTCAGAAGCTTGTCTTACGTTTAATGACACAAGCAAATTTTGCATTTTCTTGCTGGATGTGTTCAACTACAATTTGCATCTCTCTCGTTTATTGCACCGACACATATTATATACTGTTATTTAAAGGACAGAAAGGGATTTAATTTGATGTAATATATATATATATATATACACACATACATATACACACACTTATTTATTATAAAAAAATACAGAAAAATGCAAAACAAAATAAATATTTTGTACAGTTTTTGCAATAATAATGTGTGCCTAATTAGTGCAGGTTAAAGAAAGTAATTAAAAATAAATTCATTTAGTTGTTCTGATTTACAGAATATATAATGTGTCTGTGATTTTAAGTTTTTTTTGGTAGTTACAGGTCACAAAGCACAAGGAGTAAAATAAACTTTTAATGTGGAGCGATTTTAGAATTTGGTATGTTTGTCTTGTAAGCTTAATAGCCATAAAAGAAAACAAAATTGCCACACAAAAGTATTATATTTATATAAAGTAGACATCACAGGCTATTGTCCTAAGGTTGGTTTGACACTTTCTACGTAGCCATTTCACCGCCTATCTCTGCTAAATATTAGAGTAAAATTTAGTTTTTGGGGGGGGGGGGGTTTTGGCACACAAACTTATAACAAAGAACTTCTCATGTGTATTTTGGTGTGTGCTTTTCCTGTACAAAGTTTTATTTTGTGTTCAGTTAGTTACTTCTGCTGAGTACAACGATACCCCCATTGTATGTCTTTGGCACTATTTCGTGAAGCTACAGTGCCATATAGGAGACATGTCCGTTTCAACATTTACAGTAGAATTTTGAGAGGCGGATTTAATGGGCCTATGCTTCAATTTGGGGTATTATAGCAGTTTGACTGTTCAAAAAAAAAAAAAAAAACACACAAACGCCTACCATTTGTAAAAGTAGACACTCCAGGTTATCTCATAAGGTGCATATTGTGCCTTAACATGCCCCCATTTTTTTCACCAATATATAAAGTATGTGGTAAAAAAATAATTTTGGGAATTTTTTTACATACGGATTACGTTTTTGCTGGGCATTTTGTACATTTCATATATGCCACTAAGTTCAAACCCCCCAAATTATGCTCAGCTAAGTCTTCTGAGTAAAACAATATTCCCAATGTATAACCTAAAAACACTATTTTGTGAAGTTACACTGCTGTAAAAGAGACGTGACAAGTTCAGGTTTTTAAGTGTTAATTTTCATGGAGGGTTTTGATGCGTCCATGTCCCACTTTGGAGCACTTGAGCAGGCTACATATTACAACTACACCGTAAAGGCATACCATTTCTTAAAGAAGACATCCCAGGGTATTTCAAAAGGCATATTTTTCCGCTAGCTTGTACCAAGTGTAGTGGTAATAAGCATTTTTTTGCCATTTTGACACACAAAGTGAGTTTGCACAGTATATTTTGCAAATCGTATGTGTGCTACGACTGTATAATACTTCATATGTTGCTCAGCTATGTTGGCTGAGTACAGCAATACCCCCGTATGTACCTTTGCCAGGTATATGTGGACATTGAAGGGGCACATTTGAGACACAGCCATTACAGTTTTTCTCAAATTTTG